TTCCTTCCTTCCTTCCTTCCTTCCTTCCTTCCTTCCTTCCTTCCTTCCTTTTCTTTCCTTTTCCTTCACCCTTCCAGACGAGGGAAACCTGAGTCACATTTTCCTTAGTTGACCCAGAGTACAGATCTCAAACTGGTGGCCCCCAGACTAAATCGAGCTCACTAATATGTTTACTTAGGCTTTCGATGTATTTAAAAATATTTGAGCCAACACTTTAAAATTGAACTACATCACATAAAACCAATATTTCTAGCTACTTTTGGTAAATTCAAAGAGTGGGCATCATCGGGTCCACACCGGCTGGAGCTGAGTGGCCGTTGCTCCCAGGAAACCGATTTGCGACGGTCTCCACCATTCCCTATTGTTTCTCCAACGATGAGGCTTGGTGCTGATTACCTCTTTTATCACTATAGCTATGCTATTATTTTTCTCATCATGGGGAAATATTTCTCCAGACTCATGTTTTATTCAAAGGTGGTAAAATGAAAGAGAAGTCGATAGGACTTGGTATTTTTCAGCCTGGCCCGTTTTGCATGGTTGTATCGCCGGCCCGGCTCCCGTGAGCATCTGAGTATGTGAGACCTTTATGAGAGGACTGGAAAGCACATGGCACAATACGCACGCTGCAGCACCCACGTCACACTCCAGAGCTGGGTCATGCCCGGCGTTCTTCTCAACACAACGCTCCTGACAGCCATTCCTAAGCAGTCACTATGGACAAGACGAAATGATGTCCCTCACCATCCTTCCTGTGGTCCAACCCTCTCATTTTACTGAGCTCAAAACCAAGGTCCAGAAAACTTAAGCAATCCCTGAATCGATGATGCCATTATGAAACTTAGGGTCTCTTGACTCTGGTGCTATTTTTACAGGCCCACGTTACCCAGCTGGGGAGAGAGGAAATGGAATCAGGCTTGTCTTTGGCAAGAGCAGCCGACATGCCAGCTGGGCTGGATCTGTCACTTTCTTTTCCCAATGCATCATGCAAAATTCTCTTCCCCATACCAGGCTCTTGCTTTTAGCCTTCCTGCTTGCTTTCCTGTTTCAAACCAACAGTGATAGATAGCTGACTCACCTTCCCCTGCACAGCTCCCCACGCTAGCCTCTGTTCCTCAAACCACCCAAGGATTCGGGGGGCGTACTTACGGCACCCGGAGCTTAGGGAACTTCTGGATGTCGTTTTCTGTCAGGTTCTGAAATGAAAACACCAGCAGGTTACAAGCCATAGCAAGGGCTCGGGGCCAGGTGAGTTGAGTAAGGTGTGGGATGATAGGGAGTGGTGGGGCCTGCGGCTTACGGAAGAGGACGCCCCTCGCACCCACTCGAAGTGGGCAGCTTCTAGATGTTGCATAAAAGCCTGTGTGCCTGGTGTTGGTGGATCTGCTTTTTCAAAGGGAATTCCAGAATCTGGATTTTATGTGAAATTTGTTGATTTCTGTATATTGACAAATAATTTTAACTTAAATGCTACAAGAGCTAAATTGTGGGACCAAACAGCATTTGTTTTGGGGACTAAAGCTGACGTGTCGAGACCCCTTCTCTGGACTTCAGGGCCCCTCTCAATCTCCTTATGAGCTTAGTGGCTGGGAGACGCCAGTCTGGAGAAGGAATCTGCCTTTATACTACCACCACACCCCAAAAGCCTCTTCCACCAGGCTGATTGGTAGAATTCTCTAGATTTGAGGATGCAATAGAGAGGCTTTCCTGAGGGAACTGAGGTGGGAAAGAAGAAAGAAATCATATTTGTGAAGAAATGACTTAGGGCCTTTGCCTAATTGCACCCTGATTAAGCCTCACGTCAACCCTGTGATGTAGGAACTATCGACATCCCCATTTCGTAGATGAGGAAGCTGAGGCTTGGCTCATTCAGGGAATTTCAGCTTATAGGTGATGGAGCTGGGTCTGGAACCTGCTCTGTGCATATAGGGTCAATTTTCTTCCTGCAAGATCCCTTCTCCTGCCCTTTGAGGGTCCTAGTGGCCTATGTTGGAGGAGAAGAGGATGGAAAGGGTAGAGAAGGTGGCTTGAAGAGAGGAGGAAAGACAGGGATGTCATTATTGGGGACAGAAAAGACGGTGGACACACTTTCTGTAGAATCAATGCTGAGACCAAAAAGGGCTCCGTCGACGTTCTAAGTCCAGAGTCAGGCTGGTTAGGGCGAGAGCTCTGGAGTCAGACAGGCTGAGTTCGAATCTTAGTCCATCCTCTTAGCAGGTGTCTGATTTAGGACATAAACTTAGTCTCTCTGAGCCTCAGTTTCCTTATCTGTAAAATGGGAATCGTTTTCATAATAATGGCCAGCTTTCAGGGCTCTTGAGGATTGAATGAGATGTTGTATATCATATGCTTGACACATGTTATACGAGTGAGAAATGGTGAGTTAGATGAGTAATTCTACCCCCTGGGGAGGGAGCAGTTGGGGTCTCGTTGGCTCTCAGAGGTTAGTGTCTTTGCTTCTTCTCCCCTCTGGACTGGGAGCTGCTTGGTGGGTTGTTTGCTGCCCACTAGGAAGAGCTGGGCACATTTCCCTTTGAGCCCAGCTGGCACAGGGGCTGGGCCACCTCAGCAATGTGCTAGGTAGACTCATGTGCTCCAGCTCTTAGGGGCAGTGACCGACCCAGCCCCGTTATCAGACCCTGGGGCAGGGTTGAGACAGGAGTCTTCCAAGAGTCATGAGAAAATCAGCTTTTGTTCAAGCTTTTCCTCTTCCTCTCCTCCTCCTCCTCCTCCTCCACCTCCTCCTCCTCCTCCTCTTCCTCCCTCTCTCTTCTCCCCTCTCCCTCTTCAACATCACAGAGCAGTAGCATCGCCTCCTTCCAGAACCACCCCGTCTCAGGGTTGTATTAAGACTCATGCTCAGCCTGTGGCATGATGAGTGGAAGGCTTCCTGGGAGCTGCCAGAGGGGCTGAGTACTGCTGAGTCTTGGGTGGCTGGCTGCCACCTTCTATTTTGCTGAGTTGGGGACACACACTAAGGGAATTGCAGGAAGAAAGCAAAGGAGAAGGTGGACGTGAGCATAACTGGAGACATGGAATGGCAGGATGTTAGGGAAGATCAAGCCCTTTAGTAGAGGGACAGGAACTGGGAGGAAAGATGACAGATGTGTAAACAGGATTTGGGGAGTTTTGCTATGTGATGTAACCCCCTCCTCCACCTCCTTCAAACACCTTCAGCAAACTCTGGGCTACTTACACAGTGACTTGGAGTTAGACGTGAGGCTTTGTGCAGGTATGATTTATGCCAAGTGTGTCCTCAAGAGGGGTACGAGAGAGAGGCCTGGAGAGGCCACATGGCAGACACTGGGCTTGTCTACCCAACATCCACTCTGTTATGACAGGGCCTGGATTTTGTTCAGAGCAGCAAATGTGCTCTGTTCAAAACATATCACACCCTGGACTCTGTTGCACATGGCTAAGATCACAGGACTCAGTATGGCCAGTGAGAAATAACCTGACATCTGTTGGACTGAGCTTCTGGAAGTTATTGCTTTCCTGAATACAAGGGGAAGATGCATTCCCTAGGCACCTTTGTACCTTTTACTCTTTGCCAGTGTCCTTTCCTCCTACCTGGAATACAGATGAGATGCCTGGAGATAGAGTAGCCGTCTTGTAACCATTAGGACAGAAGCCACAGGCTTTCCCCAGAGGCTAGAAGGGGCCTGGGTTCTCAATGACTTCCTTCAGCAGCTCACTAGCCCTGAGCGCCCACCTCTAAATTTTTTATCACTCAAAAAAGATAAACCCCAATTTGGCTAAACCATTGTGGTTAGGTTTCTGTTACAGGCAGCCTCATGCCTTCGCAACTGACACAGTTTCCAAGAATATTTTCAACTTTCTGGAAGCGTGGCACCCCCATACCCCATGAGACAAGGTCCCACCCTTCTCATAAAAACAAAATGGCAGCAAAAAAGATTCAAGGGAGCTGCTAGCTCCTACACTAAAGAAGAAGGAAGGAAGGAAGGGGAAAAGATAAGGGCCTTTCACTTCTGTCTTCAATAGCAGGATGGCCCTAAATATTATAGAGCTAGAGGGAGTGACAGATAAGAAATTGTACCCAGAGCACCTAGGGTGGAGGGTGGCTTTTAACAGAAGCTGCCTTTAAATGCTCCAGCTGCTGGGGCAGGCGTGGGGTTCCACTTCTGCTCTCCTGGCCCTTAGCACCCCTCTTTTCACTACCCCGTTCATACAATGAGCGGAATCTGTAGAGTTCTCAGAGGGCCTGCCAGGGCCCAGATATTAGGGAAGTGGGGACAAAGCTGCTCAGATACCATCTCTCAACCAAGGAAATAGCCATGTCCTAACAGGCCTGAGGCTCACAGGGCTGGAGGCGACTGTCACCCACTATCGCCCAGGCCAATGTGCTCAGTTAGTAGATGAGGGAGTAAGGGGAGACTCAGGGCAAGGTGGCCCAGGGCATCAGGGAACAACCACGACCATCCTCAAAGGTGTCTCACCCCCTTTTCATTTGGCCCCGAGAAGTCTCTGTTCTCAGTGCTAAATGCACCAGAATAAAACATTCAGGTTTAGCAGTAATTTGCAAGAACAACACAAAACCCTAGGGATGCTATTGACTCAGGGCTCAATATGAAGAAATAGCATCGTTAAAAGCTCACGCAGCGTTAGGTTCAATTAAATGTGTGCTTTAGTCCAATTACCAGGTGTGTGACTCAGAACAAACCATGTTACACTTCTGTCCATTATTCCTCACTTACCTTCCTGAATGTACTTTTCTGCTCTAAAACAAGCTTCCAGAAGACAGAATTCACATCTTAATCATCTCTCTATTCCCAGCACATGGCATGGTCTTGTGTGTATGGAACAGGAGCTCAGCAAGACACTTGTCAAGTGAGTGGATGGGTGAATGAAGGAGCGATTTAGGTGGAATAATGAATAAGCATGTCATACGTGGCATGTGAAAGCAAAGCTCAACCCCACAGGGACACGAATTTGGTCTCAGCATGAGACTAGAGAGCCACCCCGAAGGGGGCAGTCACGATGGGTGGTAGTGAACTCATCATCACCAAAGGGATTCAAGCAAATGTTGGTGGCAGGGATGCAGTAGAGGAGATGGATGGGTGTGCTGGGTGGAGAGCTAGAGCACGTGACCTCTCTGGCCGCTTCTGATCCCGAAGTCCCTCACTGCTGCTGACTAGGCCTTGCAGGACAACCTAGCTTCGCTCGCCCTCCTCATTCCGATCCAAATCAGAACCACCTACCCCATGAGACCTTTGGAGGCTTGTTCCCACTTCTTTTTTAAAGGATGCAGAAATGTGCCCAGAAGGGATGTGTTCGTGTAGCCAGGGTCTCTCTTACCCAGTGGCAAAGGTTCGTTTTCATGGAAATGCTCTTTACTCCGTGAGTCTGTATCCCAGAATGAGAGATGGGGAAAAAGAATCTTCTGTTCTCCGTATGCTCCTTTTTTTCCCCTTGGGCTTCTCAAAGTATGGATGGTATTTGAATGAATTTTCAAGGGGCGTGTGTGTGCGTGTGTGTGCTAATTATCCTTGGATTTCTTCTTTATACTTTGACTTTGGAATGTACCTTGGTACAGTGAAAGATCTGGGAGGTATCTTAAAAAGAAGGATATTGAGAGGTGATGAGAGAGAATTTCATACAAAACCTCTGAAGAAGGCAAAGGGTTGTGTGGGGATCCTGCAAACAGGCTTTGACCCTGGGCATCCGTAGGGACAAGGTAGACCAGTTGACCCTGCAACCATCAATTAAAATTCAGAACAACTTTGGTCTCGATGCATCGGACGGGCCAGTACTTACCAAAAACCGGGGCCCATCAATGTGATACTTTTTCACGGCCTTTTCACAGTCCCTGAAGTTCAGCTGTGAAGAGAGGAAGGTACTGTCACTGCGGGCAGGCTCACGCCATTGGTTCCCCTCCCTCGCATGGCCCAGGAGCTTAGCAATTTGCGGTACTTGTGGCTAGCCAGACTCCCCCTCCCTCCCCTGTCTAGCAGAGGGGCCTGTCCTCACCTCAGCCCTGCTTTCACTAACCCCTCGGGACTCTCTGAAATGGAGAAATTGCCTAGGTCCGAGGCTTCGGGGCCAACCTCTGCAGAAAGAAAGAGTTTCCTTACGGCTCTAAAGGGTCGATATGCTCCTCAGGCAAGTATCAAGGAGCTAAAAGAAGTGAATAAGTGACATTCATTGTCTCCCCACCCGAAGACAACCTCGCTGAACATGGCTGTACGTTTCCTTCAGTGTTTTTTGCTAAGCATAGTTTTAAACAGAATCGAGGTTATAATTTATATTCAATCTTGTTATCCTGACTTTTCTCTTAAAATTACTTTGAAATGATTCTATAAGCACTGCCTCGTGTTATTGCAAATTTATTTTAAACATGAGTTGAATTACTCCCTTATCACTGAACACGGTGGTTGTTTACTAAGCTGCTGCTCCAGTAACGATAATAGCAACTGCTGATACTTATCAAACGCTTGCTCTATGGCAGACACTGTTCTAGGTATTTAAACCAATCTTAAGTCATTTAATCCTGACATTTTCCAGATGGAGAGTCAAAAGCATAGAGAGTCAAGTCACTTGCGTGAGGTCCTATGGGTAGTAGACGACAGAGGTGACAGTAGGCCTTCAGAACAAAGCTTTCATGTGTCTGTAAGGAATGTCCCTTTAGTCTTGAATAGCATTATAACTTACATCCAGTGAGTAAAGTGGACAGGTTTAAAATCAACTTAATACACTATTCAGATCAAAACGTAGGACACGTGGACATTCTTTTGCATCCAGTTTTATTTCCTTCTACTTAAGATAAATTAGTTAAGTAAGATTCTCAGAATCAAGTTAGAGGGTTAACGGGAAGGATGATTCTTAGGGTCTTGGTTGCTTTCCCAAAGAGTCACATTAATAGAGATTCCTACCAGGTGCTTCTTTACCTTATCCTCAGTAGCATAAGCATTTGCGTTGGAAATAGCTCTACAGTTGATGTTTGGGCTGGAGTATTTAAGGTTCAATGTTTGTGCTTCAGAATCCCAGGTTCTCCTCACAAGTGTGAGTCTCACAGTTTGTGGCAACTTTCTTTGGGTACAAATTTCAAATCATGGCCTTTTCTAATGGCCACCAAGACTAAGAAGCAAATACAATGGTCACAGGCTCTTGGCTTGAAAGGGTAGGATGAATATTAGACAGCTCAGAAAAAGCCGATTTAGAGGTCAATGTGGAAAGCGAGCAGCATCGGAGAAGCCTTGAGCCTCCCTCTTATCGCCATGCCATGAGCTGTAAGTGATATTTGGAATAGTCAACTGCCCTTCATTCATCAAGTTTGCTGCCATCGTTATCAGCAGAATCTGGTCCATGTGCTGACTTCAACTCTAGATAGGCAGATGGCCTTGCAGCCTGGGGCCTGCCTGGAAGTCTGATCCTCATCCAGTAATATCTGGGCCTGGGGGCTAGAATCTATATTTTTAGCAAACACTTAGCTGATTCTTATGAGGACCCAGGTGTGGATGGCACTGGTCTAGAGCATGTACCACGTGTTGTAGATGGACAGCCAAGACCCGGAGAGGGGAAGGGACTGGCCCAGAGTCACGCAGTGAGTTCTCCCCACCCCCAGCTGAATACCTCACACAGATTATTTCCTTTAATTCTCCCGTCCATCCCATGAGGTTAATTAGTTACTAGTAGTATCTCTATTTTACTGATGAGGCAGCTGAGGCACAGGGAGGACAAGTACCTAAGAGAAGGTAACCCAGCCAGCAGGTGGCAGAGCCAGGATTCAAACGAAGGTGTGTCTAACTCCGGAGCTGACAGGGTGTTGTCTCCAAGGGGGGCCTGACCCCACGGCTTCATTGCCAGGACGTCCTTTAGACAGGACGTCCAAGGGGCTCCATGGTCATTCACTTGGTATTTTTTCTCTCTAGCAAACTGAGATGCTCAGGACTTGAAGGCGTCTGAGTCTCTGGAGGCTGGGACTTTCCAGATCACAGATGCCCCCCCAGTCTCCTTGTTCCTGTCTTCATTCCTTTTACGCTGGGATGGGGAACCTGTCCTGAGCCTGCAAACTTGTCTCAGAGTCTGAGATTTCCAAGAAGAAAGATCCACCCGCCCCCACCAGCTCGGGCGGAGATCACCCTCCCTGCATCGTCCCTGGCCTGTAGTCCAACTCCCCGTGCTGAAGGGGACTTTTCCCATGGATTCTTCTGTTTCTGGACAGCGTCGTGCTATTCTCTGTCTCGCATTGGAGCTGGAACCCATCTGTGCCTCTCATCCCGTTCCCTGGCGACCCTTCCTAATTCTCAATGCTTCTCTCCTTTCTTTAACGAGCTAACATGCCACTTTATGGCATCTTGGCAAATTTCACCTTGTGGCCCTCGTTTATTTGATCTACATTAAGAAAAGTATTCAGAAACACCCTTCAAAGGCCAGTTGTCTAGTGATCTTTGCACCAGCAATACCGAAACCTAAATTTATTATGAATTTTTAGAGAGGAAAGGAACAGAAATGAGATGCACAAAAAGCAGCAAATAACAGGGTTTGTGGGCTGTCTCTCTATCATGCCACACTCGATTCAACATTTTCATACTTTTCGTCTTTAGGTTGGGGAAGACCAGTTGTGACAGTAAATACCTTGGTACCATATAGACCCCAGGGTCGTCTATGTGTCCTGAGAAGCCTATTCTGTCTCCGGAAAAAAAGTGGAAAATTGACTTAGATGATCTCTAAGGTCTCAACTTTAAAATCGCACCTTTATGGCAGTCTGATTTCAACTGAATTCCATGCCAGCCTCCAGGGATGGGGGTGTGAGGTCAAGTGCCCCTCATAAGACACTGTATCCCTTGGACAGGGACACAGGGACCCTAACTGAATCATGTGGCTTGGGATCTGCCCAAGCAGATATATGACCTGTGGTCCCAGCACCAGATGACCAAGCACAGGGCCACTTGAGCATCTCCATGTCCAAGGCCGGAAGGCAGGACAGCACCATTCTGGTCCTCGCTCTGCCACAAGCTTGGTTTCTGACCCTGCCTGGCCAAGCCTCTCCCTCCATAGGGGCCTCAGTTTCCCTAGCTGTAGCCTGGGCTCATATCAGTTTTGTGACCTGCCTCACAAGACACTCATAAAGCTCCAGGGAGACTCTGTCCCTCATAAGGGCTTGAGACTCCTCTTTCGGGGTCGTGAGCGATGACCGCCTAGCTGCCACCTCCGGCATAGGTCATCGTAGCCTTCTCCTACCCCCAGGACTCCATCTCTCCCTTTCTAGTAAGTAGTCTTGATCTCGTTAGTGGTTACAATAGTTCTGCATCTTGGAGCATGGACTTTGAGAGCAGACAGGCGTGACTGGAACCCTGCCTCTGTCACATGTCGTCCCTGGGGCTTTGGGCCATTTAACCTCCTTGAGTTTATTTTGCAACGGGGCTAAGGGGACAGTGCCTGGAGAGCACAAATTCAAGCTCTGGCACGTAGTAGGTACACATTAACTCGAGGGCCTCCCTTCTCCCCAGATCTCACTGCCAGGGACATTCAGTGGTGTAGGTATATCTACACGGCACTCACTCAACTGGTGAGGTTGCCATGAGTTTGGAGTCCCTCTGCTATGTTCTTCACCTCTCGTGTTCCTCCAGGCTCCATCTTCAAGCCTCCCACTGAGGACACTGCCGGCCCCACCACCAACAAAGAGCAAGGCTCACCTTCTTGAAATAGTCTGCAAGGCTGTCGGAGTCCCAGGCCAGGACCTCTGAGCGGAAGGGCACATTCTTCAATGCCATGGCTGCTCTCCCGAAAGGAAGCTCACAAGCCGAGCATAGGTGCTGCACCCATGAACAGAGAACCCCAAATCCAGAGTGTGGAGGTGTCCTTGGCTCTTCCAACCCCCAGGCACCTTCTGGAACAACGTTGTTGGAGCAAACGTCTTTTCTGCTGCAACCAGATCCCAGAAAGAAACGGCTTCCTCTACGAACAAATATGGTCTCTTCTCAGAAAACGACTCAGCAAGTTTCCTTTACCACTTCCTCTGCTGGGCTCTAAATAAGTAAACAAGGAAGCCCAGCTCTGAGCACTGGAGAGACAGAGAGCGACAGGGTTTGTAAGTCCCCACTGGTCCCTGCCGCCCCAGCCCAGTGGAAGGGGCGATGAGAGGGACTTAGACTCCAACGTGAGTCCAGGTACGTCTCTATAAAACTCCTGGCACCCACCCGTATGTCTACACCACAGTCCCGCACGACTGGGTCATGGCAGATGAAAATCTATTTTGACAGTTGACCTAAAACACAATCTCTTACAACAGTGACTTTCCAGAGGAAGGAGAGTGGCCTTTTCATGTTTTTCCCCGACCCCTCAGTCTCTCTCAAAAGGCTAAAGCTGAGATTCTTTTAGCTGCTTCTCCAAGTTACTAGGGGAGGGTTCCCCTGAGCGAGCGAGTGAGCTGGGCACCCAGGGCTGAGGAAGGGGCCACACTGGGCAGACCCGGGCTTCTGAAGGGACTGTTTCCATCCTGTGTGCGACCTCGGACAAGATCGTAGAATCTAGGAATCTCGGTTTCCGCATCTGTTAAATAGGAAAACAGAGGAATTGCTTCATACGCACATAAAACTTAGATCCATCAAACTAGACAAACTTAAAGAAAAAAATTAAAAGGAAAAAGTAATGATTGCTATCGATGCTGTCATATAGTCTATTCACTGTTGTTTCTACTGCATATTCTACCCAAAGAGCACATTTCCTGGCGTGACCTTGAGACAGGAGATGGAAATCGTCTCTTTCCTTAGTCGGTCTCAGACTCTGTGTTCTTCTCGTGGCCTGAGCACCTTGTCAGCCAAGGGCAAGTCCAGCGTCTAGAAGCAAACGTATTTATGCAACGTCGAAGCCTCTGAAGACAAGTCCGTGGCTTCGTCTAGTTCTTTGTGCCCACACTCAGGTGGCCATCGGTTCTTGTGCGAAGAACCGAGCCCTGCTGTACGAGCCGGGAGACGCTGCGTTGTCGTCCTGAAGCTTTTCCAAGAGTGGCGCTGGCTGTGCCCCTTTTCCATTGCGTGCACAATCGACAGAGCCCCACGGTCACTGCAAGGCACCAGCCTCACCAGGTCGTCGTGAGTTTTGGTGAGACATGCGTTTCATCCCAGGCACGGCAGCTTTACAAAAGTGGTCTATAAACTTGAGCTGGCATCTTCCTCACCTCCCAAGGTACTGGAGCATCAGCTGAAAGCAGCCCAGGCTGAGTGCTTCTCACAGGGCCTGCATCTGAGGGCTCTCAATAAAACTGGTCTTGCTCTTCAAAAGCCCCACTGCTGCTGAGAGAGGTCACTTCACTTTTCAAATCACCAGAGGAGCAGAAAACAATTTTTTAAAAAAAAAGCCATTTGAAAAGAGAGGGAGAGAGAAATGGCTTCCAGGTAGAGCAATCCAAGAAGATGTCATGGAATTAGCCGGATTTTAGCATAGGGAAGATGAAATAGAGGAAGTGTGTGCATGTGTGTGTGTGTGTGTGTGTGTGTGTGTGTGTGTGTCTGTTTTTGTGTGTATGTGTGTTTCGGGGTGTACGTCATGAGCAAATAAAACACACCACATCTGTGGAAACATTCAAGATCGTCATTAAGAGTAGAAACAATTTTTTAAATGATGTTCATTCCCACACAGGAAGAATAGAAATCTCCAGAAAAGCGGAAGTTAGAATTAAGGTATAGCTAAATATTAGGCTTTGGGAGAAGAATTATCCACTAAATGTGGCTAAGATGGCCAGTCCCCGGTGCCCATTTAGAAGAGAGACACAGCAGTCAAGAAACCTGGTGACAGTGATGATGATGATAAGAATCATCACCTATGCAACACGGGACCATGCCAGGGATGGTCTAAAGGACTTTGCATTAATTATCTTATTTAATTGTTGGTACCATTATGACTCCTGCTTTACCGAAGGGAAAACTGCCCCCTTGCACTGGGCATGTAGGTTGTGCAGTGGGTCTCATCCGGGACCCTCTCTGAGTTCAGAGCCCCTGTCCTTGACCTCTCTGCCACCTCAGGCTCTGAGGTGTTCTATAAATGGCCCAAGCCAGGGTAGACATTCAAACCCAGCTCTGTCTCCGGAGCCTGTGTGATTTTTCCACTCCGTCTGTCTGCCTTCCACGAAGAGCAAGTGAGGCCGTCAATCTGGACAAGTTCGGCAGATACAGCCCTTTCCGCGAGGCAGGCCTTTGGTGTCCCCACCCCACAGGACCATGGCCCATTCCTCAGAAAGGGCAGCTGGGCAGGCGAGAGCAGGTGACGCAAGGGGAAGCTGGTTGCTTCAGACCCGGAGCCTTTCCTCTTCCCCGATTCTCAATGATTTCCCAACAGTAATGAGTTTCACATCTCCTGTCTGTGTCTGGAGGGTTCCGGAGGCTCTCGGGGGCAGGGCCAGTTAGCCCTGGGAAAGAATGGGTCAGGACTCTAGGAGGACCAGGGTGACCCTGTGCAGGCCAGCCCATGGGCTCAGCCTCAGGCTCCGTATCTGTTTAACGGGTAATGACAGTAGCAGCTCTTGGGTACAGCCACAACGGGTGAGATGCTGCAGTGATGACAGTCAGGGATGAAGGCCAACTCACACAAGTCCTCTAAAGGGCATTGGTCTTGGCTTCGAGCACGAAACAGACAGACAGGGGAGCATGTCAGGCACGGTGACGTAAAGCCGTGGCCTAGGTGAGACCCTCTCCCATTTCTCTGTCTCCCAGCTGGGTGGAGAATCCCAGCACTCATGAAGCAGCACATTGAGAAGTCAGCAGAGGCCTTCTTAGGCCGTGTAATCTCTGTCTCGAGGTTCGAAAGGGGTCGCGTAGTCTCTGAGCAAAGTAAGAACAGCATCGTGCGAACACACAGACATGGGGACACGAACGTGCATCCAACAGAGCCGTGGACAGAAAAAGCAGCGCTCGCAGGGAGTGACAGGTCAGATTTTTCAATCTTAGGGACAAAAAGTAGATGGAGGAGCAGCATGCTGCAACCCAGAGGGGGGTCTCCGTGACGTCCTCCCTGCCCCACTCCGCCCCGTCCAGATTCGAACCCCCCTTCTTTCTCGCTAACCCGCGGCAGAATAGGGTAAGGAGATAACTACCTGCTTCACGGCTAATTTCAGGGGAGAAAACATAAGCAGCTCATTAAAAGAGACTCGAGAGTCTCAGTCTCTGTGCGTGGGGGTGGGGGGAAGACATTGTTTAGGCACCGGGAAGGGGGGGGGGAATGGAAAGTAGGGACTTTGGAAGGAAAATGTGTTGAGCCTCTTAGGAGAGGCACCTAAGAAGCTGGAAGGCGGGTGGGAGGATGCGCTCATTGGGATTTAAGAGGGTGCTTGCTGGGGAAAGGAGAAAAGTGGGGACAAGTGGCCCAGCGAGGGAGCCAGCCCGGGACGGGGCAGGCAGTGGGGAGGACGCTCTCACACGGGGCCATCCCAGCCTCGCCTCCCCACCTCTGGCTCGACGTATCACCTGAGGCTGAGGCGAAGCGCTGTTGGAAGTTTCTTTAGAGTCCGTGTGGGTTTGCCCTCAGAGGGCAGGAGAACCGTAGCTGTCAGTCTCACAGGAAGGGGACAGTTCTCTGAAGCACCTTGTGTGGGGAATGTCAAGGGAAGAAAGCCAGGGAAGGGAATGAATTCACCGCCCCACTGGGCAAGGAGCTCCGCACACCTGGTGGCCATGCGCTGAAGCACAGAATGTGACGACTTTGCTTCGGAATGGGGGACGCCAGTGGGGACAGGCCTGCGATGCGGCATCTCTGGCTGTGCAGGAGCCCTCTTCAGCAGCGCTCCCGCAGGCCGTGGGGTGACACAGTCCTGACAGCCACCAAGACTGTCCTCCCACCGCAGCCCGCACCTCCCCCACCCCGGGGCTCGATGTGCGTGAGGAAAACATGAAGCAGCTGCCCCATGCCAGGCAACGAGGAGCAATATTTTCCACTTCCTCAGAGCTGACAATTTTCTTCTTTTCAGAAAATACACGTTTTTTTCATCCTCTCTGTCTCTCTTTCTCTGCTGTTTTAGCTGAGGTACCTCACACATACAAAGGTGGGTGGGAGGAAATGCTTATTTGGACTTCCTGTCAAGCCTCCCTTCCTTGTTGGCCCTATTTTTGACTTGGGCAGCCTATCCCCAGACAGCTCTGCTCAAAGGGAAACTCCCCGAGTGCCCGGAAGGGTGGGTGAGGTGCGGACAGAGGGCAGGAGAGGGGAAGGTGGGCTCCTCAGCTTGAGAGAAGAAGAAAATCTTCCCCCTCTTCCTCTGGTAGCCGGAGAGGGGCAGAGCTGGGGGGAGGGCAAGGAAGGCAAAAACAATTTTACCTGCAGCCCAGCCAAGGTGACTGCGGCCTCCTCCGGCTGCGTCTCCAAGGAAGAACTGTGGGCCCCAGAAGCGTGTCTGTGCCCTCACGGTGAAGCGGAGATGTGACCAGCAAGCCAGGCAGCCCTTTATAGCTCTCAGGTCCTTCGATGCTCACAAAAGCCCTGTGAGTAGACAGCAATGCTCCCATTTTACAGAGGCTGAGAGATCGCAAGTTCCCACAGCCAGCAGATATGGAGAAGAAAAGCCAACTCAGGGCCGGGTGGCTTTCCGTCTGTTCGACTTTTGTGATTTGTCCCTTCCATCTTGGCATGTCATCTAGCTGATGACTTCCGGTCTGGACTTCCCTGCCTCACCTGCGGCCTTGGTGCTAGGGGTCTCCTCACAATTTGTGGGGCTCCCGACTTTGGCTGCACGACCTGCCGTAAATATATCGGTTGCCCTGCCCACCCATTTATACCTGACCTTGCAGACTTTGGACCCAGACCGACTGTATCTTCCAATCCACTGTCCTAGGAGGGGCACCTCCTGGTGCACGAGTGTCAGAGCTTTTCCGAGAGCATGGAGCTGGCGGTGTGGAGAGGAACAGAGACCATGAGTCCCTTTAGAAGGAGTCGGGTAGAGGTTTGGGGAGAAGACGATGCATCTACAAAACAGAGCTTGTCTGTCGATACTTCCCGGAGGCCTCGGGGGTTTGGGGCAAAGAAATTCTAGGCACTTACATGTATTAT